GATGGGACCCAACGCCAGGGTATTTCGAACGTACCTCGCTGAACGTGCGATGTATGACGTGAATATGGTTGAAGAAGCGAGGGATGGTGTCGATGTTTTCCTCGTTTTCGTACGTCGTCCATTTTCTCCCGTAATCTTCCCATATTGACAGCTCTGCCAGGCGGGTCTGTTCTCGGCTGTGGTCACTACTTTTATCGCCCAAACATCTCAGAGTCTACAGGCAGACTACACAGAGATGTCTGCTAATCTGCTCTTCGAGATGATCAATATTCAGCGTGCCATTGCAAGCGGCGCCTCGTTGGACACCGTCGCTCCTTCCCCCCTTAACCCCAATATCACTTTTATTGCATCGACGACCAGTGTATGGGTAAATGGACTGTGGTTCACCAGTCTTGCACTCAGCCTGACGACAGCACTTGTCTCAGTTCTTGTCAAGCAATGGCTCCACCACTACATGGCTCTACCATCCGGAACACCCCGCGATCGTAGCCTTCTGCGACAGTTTCGATTTGCAGGATTGCAGAAATGGCGTGTTCTGATTATAATTGGCCTGCTCCCCGTTCTTATGCACACCGCTCTCGCTATCTTCTTTGTTGGCCTTGTGATCTTCCTTGGTCCGTTGCGAGATTCCATTGCATGGGTTGTCGGCGCGATCACCGCCGTTGCGTATACAGCGTACTTGATGGCACACATTCTTCCCTTCATTTTTCCACAATGTCCCTACTGGACCCCGCTGTGTGACCTTCTCCACGTCTTGTACAGTCATGTGATGTTGTCCGCTCTACATAATTTCCTGTGCTGTGGAGTCCGCTCCCGTGCTGCAGAATGGAAGGACTTAAAATCACTGGAGTCAGATGCGGTCCAGTCATTATCGGGGGAATTATCGGTCGAGGCCCTATATGAACTCTTTTCCATGTCATCAAACCCGACTGTCCAGAGTATTGTCTTTCAAGCTATTGGCGGTTTGCATCCAGCACTGCAGAGCAAGGTTAAATCCCTGTTCGGTGACCATCGCTTGTTAGTACGGGTATCGTGTGATGAGTGCCTTGCTAGGTCAGCACCGATGTCTCGGAAGCCACTGCCTGGCCTAGAGACGAAGTTTGAGCGATTATCACGCTGCAAGCTATTTCTCTCTGACGAAGACTGCATTGACGTCGACCTCCCTCAGATCGAAGATGTCGAAACTATATATGGCGTCAAGGTTACGATATATACATATAGGGAATACTCTATCTCTGCACGTCTGGTTATGACAAATATTGCAAGCAACGGAGCTATGGCATTCGCTCGTTCCTCCAAGGATGGATATTGGGTGTTCCATCCTTTGGTCTGGATGGAGTTCATTAGGAGTGCGGCTTCGGAGGGCGCCTTCTCTCTCATTGATATCGGCACTCAAGATCCCTTCGCAATAGATATATGCTGCGCAGTTCTTCTCGCATTTCGGTGGCCTCGTTCAGAGGATAAAGACCACACAACAAGCATGGTCCAACCAAGTACTGCAGCTATCCCATTCCACGATGCTGTTCGCGAGTTTCTATATTCGGACATGACAGCCTATCTCCTGGAAATGTTTGCGAGGTTTGTGCGACCCTCGAATGTCACCTCTATTGTACCATCTCTGCGAATTCTTCTGGTTTTTGCCGAATTTCTTATTTCCAGGCTTCCGTTGGGAGAACAAGCAAATACAGCTGCGGTGGAGTTACATGCCCTCGCCACGACATTTGAATTCATTTTGAATCACAATGTCTGTCGATTTAATGCGGCAGATGTTGACGCTGCCATCTTTGATGTCCTGGATCGCTTCATCACGAGTAACCTGAGATCTATCCCTATCATAGAAGCCGGTGATCTGCACACCAGAGCCTTGATGATTTATTCCAATGTGGTTGATACACGACATCATACCTTGCTGCCCAGATCTTTGGAGGCGGTAGTCAATCTCATGTTTGACCAATACAACTTCGACTACTATGTTCCTGTGGGTGTAAGTGAAATCATAGCAAGTTATCTTCACGCACGCAGCCCGACAATGCTCAGTGTCTTCCGTACCGCACAATGCTTGGAGTACTTTGGACACCATGGACATCGCCCATGGTTGCTACAAATCATTAAAGGCTACCTTTCCATATTTGAATACTCCCCATATTCTCATATTGAAGCTTCGGTAGTACAGGAACATATCGAGTATCTCCACACACCTGACATCCTGTTCGTTGTTTGCTCCATCCTTCTTACCAGTGGTGAGTCCGATGATCTCATAGAGGACGAGGAAGACCGCAAAAGGCAAATCAAGCGGAATATCTTATCACTCGTTCGGATCCAGCGGGATGCTCCTGCATGGAATGACTGCCGCTACAGGCTCGGACAATTACTCAAAGAAGATGACATGGGCTTCTTTCATCGGCAGGCTCGTATTCGTGGAATCCAACGAGTCTCATTGTCAGCCGAAGAAATAGCGGATCAAAGAAAACATATTCGTTTCACCATCGAGACTTTGGACGCGTTTTTCTCAGGTACGTTGGATAATGGACCTGTGAGTGTTAGATTACAATAGTTATTGGTATACATACTTACTAGAACCAGGAGAATGCTCCCAGTGTCCATCCCGTGGTGATTCCAGCTCATTCACCGCTTTCTCAAACTCGGGCGACCTGGCGCGGTCACTTGCATCGATTATTACCTTGGCACGGTGAACGAGAGGCAAGAGACCACGATGCCATAGAGCGTGTTTGATTTTCGGTACTTCGATAATGCAGCCAATAGTCAAGGTGTATTAATGGCGAACGTAGCAACGGAGGATAGGTTAGGCGACCGCGATAGCCTGATGACAAAAAAGTTCCGCAAATACATAGCTGGCAGTGGGTTTCCCTGATGTCTGTGTGTCATATGTAGCTATGCCACCGATGTCGTGGATAATAGCCTTGGTGAAGAGGAATATTCACGAATTCAGTATTCAAGCGCTCTTGGCCGACAGTGTAAATTACTAAACTCCCTTCTAACTATAACCGGTAAACCCATTCTAATTTGTGACAAGTGATTGTAAGTAATGAATGTCGGAAATAGAAGACGTCCTGTTAGTTGTTTGTTTACCTATTTGGATCGGTTCCTGCCCCTAACCATTCGTAATTTTCTTCCCAACCACCACAACTCGTCACGACGCCGGCAAGAGAAACAGATCCTTCAAATCGAGGCTTACTGAAACCCGGCACGATTCGTACATTAAAAAAGCCGATCGGCACCCAGTGACCCGGGACTCGTATGTAATAACCATGACTTTCCCCAAAGGCCGTGTCTTACAACCCCATGGACACGCTCACCGCCTACGCCCTCGATGCAGGCCTCGCTGCCCTCCCGCCCCACCTCCCCACGCTCCTCGCCTCCCTCGTCTTCTTCACGTTCGTGCACCTCGTCGTCGCGCCGCTCGCGAGCCATGCATTCTTCCCCGAGACGTATAGCAAGATGGGACGGAGGGCGAGGAATAACTGGTTTGTTCTGTTCTGTTGGTTGGTTGGTTGGTTGGTGGGACTGATTTGATGTATGAGTGTAGGTGCATACACGTCGTGTCGCAAGCACACGTCTCGCTGATCATCCCGCTCGCGCTGGGATGTCTGAACCTTGAAGCGCTGGACCGGGATCGCGCATTTGGGTGGGAAGAGGACAGGGTGGGGCAGTTGATTGCTATTTCTAGTGGGTGAGTCTCACCGTTTGTGAATGAAGGAACGGAAGATTCTGAGCTGGGCGGGCAGGTATTTCATCTGGGACACCGTCGATGCGATCGTCAACTTTGTGGATATCGGTTTCGTCGTGCACGGCCTAGCGTGTTTGGCTATCTATCTCGGGTCGTTTGTATGTCTCTGTTCGTGGTTGTCTCGGCTTTGCTGAATCTCGTGTATAGAAACCATTCTTGGCGTACTATGCGGCACGGTGTCTGCTCTGGGAAGCGTATGTCGTTCTATCAATCTCTCCCCTTTCTCGTTCACACTGTTCCCTTTGCAGGAGCACGTTCTTCCTCAACATCCACTGGTTCCTCGACAAGACCAACCGCACCGGGAGCAACTTCCAGCTCATCAACGGCCTCTTCCTCCTCGTCACGTTCTTCGTAGTGAGGCTCGTCTACGGAGGGATGTATATCGTACGTGTTTTACGCGTCGTTTTCTTGGCGCTTGGCGCTAATCCTCGATCGACACTAGTCATATCAATTTGCGCATACGCTATACCAAGTCCGGCATCAAGTGCCGCTCGCATATATCTTTATCTATGGAGGAGGGAACGTCGTGCTGCAGGGTCTGAACTGGTTATGGTGCGTGGAGATGCGTCCTTTTCTGGGTTGTGTGCTGATGCTGGGGTAGGTTCGGGAAGATGATTGAGGCTATTCGAAAGCGATTCTCTGGGGATAGTGCAGTCAAGGCTCATACAAGTAATGGGTTGGCGCCAAAGTAGAACGGAAGCTTGAGGAACAACATACTACGCAATAGATTTTTCTTGGGAAGGGAACTACGTCTCTAAGAGGTTTGTGCAGACCTACATGGAATTACACAAAGTTTGGCTCTCGTGGTGTGCTGGTACGTCCTCGGCCCTCCTTCTAGCGAGAAGAGACTATATTTATCATACCGGAGGGTCTACTGTTGTGTCGAAACTGTCGACACGATAACTGATATCTTCTACGCGTCAATGCATCGCACAATACATAGGCCGGGAGGTGAGGATGCCTTGTGTGATCTGATTAAATCGTGGCAGCAGCGCTACTGCTCCGCTTTGATGGAAAGTTATCAATAGGAGAGCTTGTACTGTCAGATGGTCAAAATAACGACTCTCTGCCGAAGCTAGGAACTCGAACAGGCGTTCGCTGTTTGACGTCTGTAAGCTTTCTTCTTTTGACGTCTAGGGCATTCCTGCGACACCATCCAGCGGTTTCACGCACAGCGGCCAGCTATTTTGAAAAGAAGATCAAAATTTCGAAAGTCTTAGCCATCAAAAAACCTTCATAAATTCAGTCAACATGGGGGCACCCGGGATTGAACCGGGGACCTCCAGAAGTAAGTACGATGTTCACTTTAGTCTGTTGCTCTCCCAGCTGAGCTATGCCCCCTAATGGTAGGCGTTTATGTTGCCTATCACATTATCAGCGCAGAAATAAGGAGTACAGATTTAGCGTGGGCTTGACTGGAAGGTTTCTGGAGTCAAGATTGGAAGTACGTGGCGGGTATTTGGTACCTAGGAAGGAATGCAATGTTGTTGCTTCGTTCGCTCGAATTGGCGCCCTCTCATAAAACCGGTAAGCATGTGGTGTTTCGAGGATGAACTAATAACGATCCGGTAGAATGTTTTGGAGCTGACGAGTCATTTTCTTATATGCCTAGCAGTATGCGAGGTTCGCGCAGTATGAGATGGGGACGTCGCGTTTACTTGAATAAGCCTCGAGGATACCGGTAAAAGCCCGGGAAAGAGCGTCGTGAACGAATGCAGGAGGTGTTGCTTAGGTGGGTGAGCAGTCGACTGAGGTCTAGTTCAATCCTGGGTGCCCCGCAATATGGTACATGCGCATGATAAGGTCCTAAGACGCGAAAAGCCCATGTCGAGGGGTATTCCGGTGAGCAATAGGATATCAATCCATAGGTTCATTTTATATCGTATGCAAGTCTGCCAATAGTAATCATATCTCCCTTAAAAACTGGCGGACCTGGTGTTCCCTCAGTGCGCCGGTGAAGGTCTTGACGGCCTTGCCTCCTTGGAAAGCGACGACTGTCGGGAGTGCGCGGACCTGAACGTGGTCAACATGAAAATATATTATGCCATGGCAAGAAGTGAGCGCACTTTGAATCGCTGAGCAAGCTCTCTTCCTTCTTCGGTATCGCTATTAATGGTGACGAGGTCCAATGGTTGGCGGGACGCGGTTTCGGTAGCGGGGTCACCGGTGAGTTGTTCGAGGATGGGAGAGAGGACCTTGCATGGCTGACACCAGCTGCGAGGCGTGAGACTATGAGTATGGCTAACCGACCCTGCTTACTCTGCGTAGAAATCAACGAGGACGATGCGTCCTTCTGCTGTGGTCACTTTTTTAAAGGTCTACGGATAATGTTAGGTAGGTATAAACTGCGAAGGGGAATAGACAGACGTGAAAGTCGGCATCAAGGTAGTGGTCGAAGCGGTGTGGCGTCGATGAAAAGTGGCGGCGTGAGAGACGGGACGCGAGGGACCTGAGCGTGAGCGAAGCCATGGCGGTGGAAAATAGAGAAGTGATGTCATCACCCTCGCCGGGTTAGCCGACAGCCATCACCATCATCACCAGGGAACATTCATATAAATGCGAAAAAAGATGCCCGTCCCTCGTCCTTGTTCTTTCGTTCGTTATGTTTTTCATTCTTTTTGCTGTCCTGGTGTCAGCCGTCTTTGTTTCTGCAGCGGACCATTTGGTAACCGTCGGTGACGGAGGAGTGAGTTTTCTCAGCCTTTGCTGGTTTGATTCGGTTCTCACGATGTTGTGGGTAGACGCTGGCGTTCAACCCAACAAAGTGAGCAGGCCTGCCATTCTGTCTGTGTACCTTCTGAGCTTGTCTGCAGTGTGACCGCCCTCGAAGGGGATACTGTCACCTTTTCATTGTACGTCCTCCTCCTTCACATCAGTGTTCTCTCTCACGCCCCTCGTAGTCGCGCCAAAAACCACGTGCGTCCCCGCAGCACCTCTCCCTCTCCTAGCTAACACTCCACCCAGTCTGCGACCCAGTCCACGTTCGCCGCCCCCTGCAACAAATCCGGTATCGACTCGGGCTTCGTCCCCATCCCCTCCAACAGCACCGAATTCGGCCAATGGACATTCACCGTCGACAATACGGCTCCGCTCTGGTTCTTCTGTGCACAGACCGGGCATTGCGAGGCGGGCATGGTCTTTGCGGTTAATACCACACCAGAAAAGAGCTTTCAGGCGTTTTTGGCTACCGCACAGGGGAATGGGACAGCGAGTTCGAGTACGGGCGTTTCCTCCACTGCGGTGGTATCAAGTGCTAGTGCGGCTGCCTCGGCTACTGCTTCTAGTAGCGCCGCCTCTAGTACTGCCAATGTTAATACCGCCAGCAACGCCGCCGCGTCCAGTCCGCGCATACACAGCATCACATTCTCTATCGTGGCTTTGGTTTTCGGTGTTCTACTTTAGACAATTGTACAGGAATACAATTTGACGCGTTCTTGACTCCCGGTATGAATTGTGGGCGATGTCCAACCCAAGTACCCAACATTGAACTAGCTATCCTTGCTGCTCTCTCGGCCGAGCTATGCACGGTGCTGGTGCTGATGTTATGTGAATGGAGTGACAACAGGAAACCAGCATAAGTATGGGGGCATAGCTCAGCTGGGAGAGCAACAGACTGAAGTCAATGAATAGCGCAGGCGTTCTGGAGGTCCCCGGTTCAATCCCGGGTGCCCCCACTAGGTTTCAGTTGAAGAAGTTTTTATCTGATTTTCAACTGAAAACTTAGCAGTGAGGGTGACAGTAATGAAAGTTACAAACCTTCATAGTAGACTTGCACACAAAACCCCCAAGGGGAGTAAGTAATATACATGAAACTAGCCCCAAACATTTTGCCTCCATAGATTGCAGTCACTCATCGTAGAATGTCTCAGAACTGCAGCACTTGAGTACCCCGATGTGAGAAGAATTTCATAGAAGATCTGTTGAACAGGTAGATGGTCGAACTGATTGGGTATGACTTCATGAACACGTATCTCTTTCTTCTCCCAAGAGAAATTTTCAACACGTGGTGCCTGGCATCAATGTGATGACTCCTGGTGAGCACAGCAACAAACTGTGTGTATGTGAAAGACAAGATGGGGGAAGACTTTTAGACACCGTGTTGTAAAGCTAGAATCTAGATGACCACACAACATGGAATTCTGAGCCACGAGGCTGAGTCCCTGACCCCAGCGCACTGGAGCACCTCAGGACAGACGTCCTACGTTTTCGTTGAAGTTCGCAACAACCATCGACAGAGACTGCAAATTCTGTGAGAACTCTGTGGCCCGTTGTTGTGCTACCTACACCGAAGCCAATGAATGAAGTTCAAACCTCAACTTTCCTCAGTCAAGTCTATCAGAAAATTCGATCAAGCCTCCCCTGTTGCCCGATGACATATTGACCTTGCAAGCTTGTTCAATTCTCTCAAAATCAAGGCAGCAGAACAGGACTTGGTACACTGATCACAATTTGGACAAGATGAATGCAATGATCACATTCGCTCTCGGATCAATAGGATGCATTAGATGAGTACATTGAATCGGTTACAAAACCGAATTCATGACAAGAGTGAGAGTATTAGTACATTCCCGTGGCCTCCGTTTACATGCTACAAGCGCCCGTCACATCACTACGCAGCACCATGCTTGATTTTTCGACTCGGACTCCGAGGGGGCTGGCAGAGGAGACAGCGGTCGCGGAACGTATGGTCGCTGGTATTGTCGCCTTTGCGCAGCCCGTTGAGCTTTCTCGTCTTGGACTCGATTGACTTGCTGTTTGTGCAAGCGATGAGTTCTTTGGCGTTCATCCTCTTGCTGTCTCCTCTGCTGGGCCACTTGCTCCATTCCCTGCCGTTCCTGGGCAGCCTCTTCCCGCCTGTGTCGTTCCATGGCTTCTGCGGCAATCCTATCCTGCTCTCTTCTGTTTCGATCATACTGCTCTTGCGCTACCTGCCGGGTTCGTTCTCGTTCAGCCTCTTCCAGCCTGCGTCGTTCCATGGCTTCTGCAGCAATCCTATCCTGCTCTCTTTTGTTTCGATCATACTGCTCTTGCGCTACCTGCCAGGTTCGTTCTCGTTCAGCCTCTTCCAGCCTGCATCGTTCCATGGCTTCTGCAGCAATCCTATCCTGTTCCCTTCTGTTTCGATCATACTGCTCTTGCGCCACCCGCCGGGCTCGTTCTTGCTCAGCCTCTTCCCGCCTGCGTCGTTCCATAGTTTCAGCGTGATAAGCAGCAATCCGGTCCTGTTCCCTTCTGTTTTGATCATACTGTTCTTGCACAACACGATGAGCTTCCACCTCGTTAAAAAGCCGAACTTGTTCAAAGCAATCGATGTCTTGAAAAGCATCCACATCTGGATCTGGGGGCGGTGGTACAGCAGCCTGAGGTTGGGCCGGGCCCGGATCAGGCTCGTCAGCATATATGCCTCCATGCACGGTACCCATGTGGTCGTAGATGTTGTCGGCGTCAAAGGTTCCCATACAACGCCAGCAAATATGAGCTCCGCATCTAGAAAAGCTAGTTAGCTTCAACGACCAAATAAAAGGACTAAACACGAACGGGCACGTCATATGATTGCATCCTTCCGTCTTCTCTAGGAGGCGTGAGCACGCCGGGCATTTCTTGATACCACGTTGCTGCGAAAGCCATGCCTCGCTCATTCGTTCTTGCTCCACGGGATTATTATGAATGCGAGCATCTTCACAGCTCAGTCTTTCATGTGAATCCTCGCCACATGAAGAACATATCTCGGAGAAGCAAGACGGACATCGTAAAGCAGACACCACTTCCGACTTGCGGTATATCTGCATACAGTCTGGTGTCTTGCAGTACCTAAACTCCTGTGGATGTTTGTCAACATGCGTCGTGAAAATAGTTTCTAAGAGGTGATCAAAGGCAGTCGGTGGAAGGAACTTTTGAATGACGGGAATCGAGATGGGTGTTCCACATGTTGATTCGTTCCCCATGCATATGAGTGGAAAAATTCCGGTTTTGGCGGCAGAGGTGAGGAAGTGTCGGATACAGCCTGTGCAGTAAACGTGTTCGCATACCAATTGAAACGGTGTCGAGACATCGTCGTAACATATTGGACACGTATGGGATCCGGGTGCGACGTTCACACTAACGGACTTGCGGGACTCGGTGATATGATTGTTAAGATGGAGTCGGACCTCCTCGCCTCCTCTTACCGTGATGGTCGCAGAACCAATATCCAGTGCCACGTTGTCTTCGCCGAAAACTTCTCTCATCGCTGCAAGACCGGTCCGCGCAAAGTATGCCACCGAGGGGCGCGGCAATGTAACAGTAAATTCCAGAGACGCAAGACGATCCAACTCTTCCATCACAACCGTTTTGGCTCCTTCCAACGCCTTCGACTCTCCATACAACTTGAGTGTCCGCTTTCGAGAATCTGAGCGTAAAAATGCGCCGGCATCAGTGATCTTCTGTACTAGATGGGCCTGAGGATATGTGAGATGATCATGCCAGCCGTCGATCTTTTCACCAGCAGTTAAACTTTCGACGCGGACCTTGAGTGCACCGAGGGCGGCCTTAACCGTCCCTGATACTTGGATACGGTAGTCCCCACCATTGAGCTGACGAATAATGATATTACACGCTTTACGATCTTTGATGTTTCCCTGGAGCTCTTTCCAAAGGGCTTCTTGAGCGCGATACTGTCCGGATGGTATGATAATGGTGTAAAGCGCTTGAGGGGCGATTCGGAGCCAAAACATAGAGTTACAAATGTAACTGAAACGTCGGTCGAGGAGAGTATCGTGAACCTTCTTTGCGTTATCCCATGCATTGAAACGGGTACGAATGGAAAGAATCCCAGCTTCGTTATCACCTCGGGAAGTAACGTCGAAAGACTCCATTTCAATGCCTTCTATCCGATTGATATGCAGCTGTAGACAATGAATTGCTGAATCTATGTCGAAGCTAAGAGGTCTGAGAGGGCGAATTAAGTGGGACTGGGTGAAGTCAGTCACAATGGCAGGAAGGACAACATCAGGCAGGTTGCTAATCTTGATAGTGTTTGGTCGGAAGTTGGGCAAGACGTGCCCCGGGGGGACTTGGTTCATTTCCACCTTCACCCGCCGTCCGGCACATATACGACCGTCGAGCTCCCTGACTTTGGTGCGACAGGAAGGTATGTCGGGATATTCAACGACGTAACGGACGGACGGGGCGCGGCATGAGATCGTCAACGTGTTTTCATCCCTTGGTGTCAGGGCACCCATGGCGCCAGGTGCATTAAACACCCCGACTTCAAATTCCAGTCTCTCGTCTCTGAATTCGAGGCCATCAAGCCCAATCGCTAATGACTGTGCAACTTTGGCATTCGTGACGATATCCGCCTCTTGCTTCCCATCTCTCCCAGGCATCTCTTTAACAGATACGACGTGGAACTCGAACTTGTTAAGGCCCTGTTGGGTGAATAAGGCTGCGATCTCGTTTTCACGCGCATTACGGGGGATATTCTTCACATGAATTCTGCATGATTCGAAGCCTGTGATAGTGTTCTCGATGGCGAGGCCAGAGCTGAACGTGACAATAGAACCAGCGAGGACGACACGCTGTATAGTGACCTGTGCGTCAGCTAAACGATGCTGTTGGTCAGCGCATCGTTGTTCCTCCTCTTGTTGACGTTGTTGTTCCTCTTGTCGACGTTGTTGTTCCTCTTGTCGACGTTGTTGTTCTTCTCCCCTCCGTCGAGCCTCTTCGCGCTGCTGTCGAGCTGCTTCCTCTCTTCGACGTTGCTCTTCATCCCGTCGCCGTCGTTCAGCTTCTTGGACCTGTACATATGACTTAGTGATTGAGAGACCAACAAAACCGTTTGCATACCTCAGGATCATGAGCATACCAACATTTCTCCCCTTTGGCGCAGGATCCGTGCTTCCACGAAAAGCATGGCTGTTCGCCTTTCTTTCTACGACGAGAACTTGACGCTTGCTGTCCAACTCTTTCTTTCTGCTGCCGCTCCTGGTTGTCTGATGGCGAAACTTCTATCCCGTGGACCTCGATAGTTAGGTTAGCTTCGGATGTCGTGATCGACCTTGAAAAGAACAGAATACGTACTACATCGGCATCCGAGTCGTGGGCGAAATTGCTCTGCTCTCCTCTATGTAACACAGAGCATGATACTGCATCTTTGGAATTGCAATCTTCTGGTGTGCTGAGATTAGACTGAACATCAACGTTGCGAACGATATGCTGATTGGAGTTATCATTGCGTTTCTTTCCTTTCTTGTTGGTACTATTATGAGCTGTGTGGGGGGTTCCCTGTCACGAAGGCCTTGTAAGAGCGAGACGATGTGAAAGCACGTCAGTGAAGCTTACAGAAGTCCTGCCAGGATGCTGGTATCTACAGCTAGCCCCGTACTTGCATTTTCCTCTAAGAAAATTGCGGCACACCGTAGGGTTTGTGGCAGACATGAGGGCGCTAGAACCATCTATTGTGAGGCGCTAATATGAACACGCATCAAAGAAGCTCAGCCGTCCACCGGCCACAACTTTGGAATGAGGGGCAGTGGTCCTACGCTCTGCACAAATACCCAGTTTTTTGCCGCAACTTGCAGTCATTATTGCGCCTTGGGGACATATGTATCATGGTCGCAAGGGCAGGAAGTATGTAGTTCCAAAAAACGGATTTGATGGTCGGACCAGACAACGGCGGTGGCGGGCCGGGCGCCTT